TATGAGAAGAGGATCCTTTGCGACAACATACACGGTGGACCCTCAATTTGAAGAAGGTGCAACCGTAAACTCCCACGAGAGCCATATTATGGCTTGAGGAGTATATAAAGGAGGCTCAAATGTCCACCTCAATAAGAGCTTACCAATGTTCTAGAAATCTCTTTATTTATCTTATGCTAACGATTTAGTACTCCACTTACTGTCTTTGGTCGCGCCATTGTAACCCCTTTTTTTTTTATACAGGTTAGCCTTGACGAAATGACAATATTCAAGGAAGTTACCATTTCAAACGAAAGGTACCTCCTTATCGCCAATAGTCATGATGACTCTGATGACAAAGGAACGAAATTATTGGTGCATCCCCCTATACAAGGATCTTACTCGGGTAGGTGGCCTTCTCACCAGTATCCAGAGTTGAAGGATTGGTCACTCGAGCTTTCTCAAGATGATGGCACGAAGGTTCATTCCTTGAAATCCCTTATTCATGATAAGGAGCCAAGGACAACTCCTTTTCAAACCCTTGGCAGGCGGATCATAGACGGAGATGCACACTGGGGCCCTTCCTTGAGACTCAGTGGTGCATTTAGTTACATTGAGAATTATTGGGAGTGGTTGAAGGATATCCTCGGCAGGAGTAAACAAGTGCTCCGTGAGAATTACTTATTTGACGCCTTATATGCTTCACTTTTCACATATGATAGGAATCCCCATGTACTTAGGGCATTCTGCGAGGCGTGGTGCCCAGACACTAATACCCTGCATATATCTGTCGGGGAATTGTCTCTCTCACTTTGGGACTTGCACAAGTTAGGAGGACTTCCAATAATCGGGGGTATCTATGAAGAGGTAATCCAATGCACGGAGGAGCTAACTGGAGTAAATGAAAAGAAATTAAGACATATTCCACAAAACTGTGAGTATTTGTTCGCAACCTTACATCATCTTCAACATGGGGAATCCAACAAAGCTGGAGTTTCCGCTGCCCAATGGATTAAGTTCTGGTTTAAAGGCAAAACCAGGTACTCAAAGCCAAAGCAGAGAAGGATAAAGAGGGCATCTAGTGCTCAAGCGATGCAAAATCCAGATGGCGAAATTGGACAACCACGCAAATTTTCAAGTCAAGATAATGGCGTATTTGATACCATCGGAGTTAAACTTCACTTGTGGGAAGAGACCTATCTCGAAGCATTTATATCTTGCTGGCTCTGTGTCTTTGCTTTACCAGAAGATGACCTCCATTATATTAGACCATCTACTTTCAAAATGGCTAGTATGATGGCTGCCGGTCGTAAGACTTGCCTTGCTGTTCCTGTCCTGCTAAACATATACCGTGAGCTTGATAAAATTTCAAACTCAGCTACCCCAGGGTGTGCACGTGCTGCTTTTCCGGTGCATTACGTATATGCTTGGTTAGCGAGTTATTTCTCTACCCATTATTCGACTCCAAATACCATGCATGGACCCACCATGACCAACTATTCTAGAGAGGGTGGCGCACGATACTTTGATGAAAATAGTGCTCGCGACCTCATTCATCAGGGAGACAAAGCAACTTGGGGAATCACTTCTCTTGTGAAGAACCGCAACGAACTTTTTATTGATAATAGCAAATTAGCGAATCTCGAACTAAGTTATTTTGTAAGCGCCTGCTCAAATTACTTAGTTTTGCATGTTGAAGGAGATTTCCTTGTTGAGCCATATAGTCCATATAGATTCGCGCGGTAATTCGAGTTTTATCAAGTTCCTCCACAGGAACTCGGGGCAGATGTTCGTTCCACGAATCATGACTTGAGTCGAATACTCTGGCGCACTGCCATTCGCAATAAAACAGAGTCAAAGGTACTTTTTCCTAGCTATCCCTTGAATGCTAGCAAGCACACATCTTCAGGCTTTCAAACATGGTGGTACATGATGTCATCTCCTCAAAGGGCGTGATGTTTTGATTAAGAGTGTCCAATCAAATGGGGAGCAGAAGAAGTCAAAAGGGAAGGAACTTGCAAACCTGAACAATCCTTCCAAGGTTGGCAATAGTCTTGAGATGAAGCAAAAGACTGTGAGAGACGAGAAGGAAATTTTGAAGAGTTCAAACAACAAGGTTGCTACTCCTAAGGACCTTACTCCTGATGAACAATTTTCAAAGGGTACTTCATTTCATCTTCCTTCAAAAATTGCGAAGGCTATTGATCATGATTCTTGCAATTCACATGAAAGGAAGAGGAGTGAGCCTTTTGATAAGGAGGATGAGCAATCCACTAGTACGGACCAGCATTGGAAGTGCAAGAAGTCCAAGGCAATGACTCTCCCTTTGGATGATATTGGTTTAGATCCTAAAGAACTCTTTAAAGACATTCCGGATATATCTGTGCCTGGTATAAGCCTTGCCAATATTGTAAGGACCTTCCTTACCTTCTTTAATTTAGCATTTGAAATTTGCTTGTTAATTTCATATTCATGATTTGTCTTATAACATTTTCCCTACAGTTGGATGATCAAGACTTGATCTTCATTGATGATGGAGAACCAAGCCAAGCATCAGTTGAAGGACCTACTGCATTTGAACTTTTGACCAAAGAAGTGGTCAGTTCTACCCAACAAAAGGGTGCTAGTGAGAATTTCAAAAAGGCAATAAAGGATGGAAATGTGATTCAGCAAATCACGCCACAGAAGGTGGAACATATGTCTCCATCGGCCAAAAAGAAACTCAAAGTTTTCGATCCACCATCGTGGCCAAGGGCACCTCAAGTGTCTGAATTTTGCCCACAAAGTGTGATCTCAACAGGCCGTCGAGATTATATCCAAATGTTGTGGAATAACTTGAGGGTGATGATATCTCAAACAGTCTTGGAGCGCATGCTTGCTCTTGAAATGAAAGCAAGCGAACTCATGGAGGAAATGCAAGCTTCAATGTCACGGATATCTGAAGTTTGCAAGGCCTTTTGAAAGCGTTTTTTGCAAATGCTGCTCGTTACGTCGCAGTGAAATCTTCTCTTTCAAATAAAATTTCAGCTGAATCATACGATGAGTTGCTCTCTACGGCCACCCAACATCTTAGAAATGCTCAGAGTAAGGAGAAACAACAAGCATAAAAGATCTCAACGCACATGTTGAAACTTAAGGAGATTGATCGCGAAGTAGTGGAGTTGAGGAAGCGACTTGAGTTCTTGGATACTCACAGGAAGGAGACACTTTCACGGCTACGAGAAGAGCAAGATGAGCTTACTCGAGTGCAAGGCGTGATGGTCGACTTACAAAATGAAGTTCGAAAGATTGAGAATTCCCCGCCCCTACTTGTTGAGGAGAGTCAAACTTTGGATAAGATGCAAGCATTACTTGAAAGCAACCGAAAGGAGCTGTCGTCATTTGAATTCTAGGAATAGTTGCAGTCTTTTACTTTGTTTCAAATTTCATCTTTTGTTACCTGCTCAAAGCGTGTAGCTATGAGCACAAACATTTCATAATGAAACTTGATCTCTCTTTTTTTTTTTTTTTACAACAAAAGAATCATCCGAACAAAGGATTTAGTTTTATAGGATTGTAATTGAATTTAGAAGTTGCCCTCTAAGCTGCCTACGTATCCCAAAAAGGGAATCAAGTCACACGTAGTTCCTACCGTTTACAGTTTAAAATCTTACGGGTCAGGAGTATCCTTTTGTTTACCACCTTAGATTTGGTAGAGTGTTTCAGCAGTTTAACCACGTGCTACACTATTGGTGGTTGTTGTCCACAGTTTTAGCTCATACGGATCTGGAGCAACATGCAGTTTAGACTCATGCGTAATGGAGTATTTCATTTTTTTTTCCTATGGCATGCATAACTTCATGAATTTTTCATTTATAGGACCAACTTTTACGCCATCTTTATCCACCAGTTTGTACACTCCATGCGTGTAGACTTCTCGAACGACGTATGGCCCATCCCATTTAGAGACGAATTTGTCTTTAGTGCGATGAGTCATAACTATTGGCCTTCGAACGACAAGTACCATGTCCCCGACTTGAAAGAAGCGGCGCCGAACTTTCTTATTAAAAGCTCTAGAGAGACGGGCTTGATAGCATTCGAGATTTTGTTGGGCCTCCAATTTCTTTTCATCTAAAGCTTCCAATTTTTCAAAACGCAGACGAACATTTTCTTCCTCCGTGAGCCCTTCTTGGATAGCAATTCTCAAAGAAGGAATTTGTTGCTCAAGAGGCAAGACAGCTTCTACACCATAGACTAAGGCATATGTGTGGCTTGCATTGGAGTTCGATATGTGGTGCGATAAGCCCAAAGAGTTTCGCCTATCCTTTCGTGTCAATCCTTCTTTGATTTAGCCATCACTTTCTTCAACAAGTTACATAAAGTTTTGTTGAATGCCTCTGCAAGGCCATTGGCCGGGGCATTATACATGGAGCACTTGCGTTGCTTGAGATGAAATTTTTCATACAACTTATCCATCAAGTTATTTGAGAAGAATTTTCCATTATCAGTGATAATGTATCGGAGAACTCCATAACGGTAAATAATATTCACACGAATAAAATTCATCACATCTTCCTTTCTAACTTGCTTGAGCGGTATGGTTTCAGCCCATTTAGAAAAGTAGTCGGTCGCAGCCAATATATATAAATATTGACCGGACGACTTTGGTAATGGCCCCACAACATCAAGACCCCAAGCATCAAAAGGCCAAGAAGCAACGGTCGGGTGTAACGGCTCAGGTGGTTGATAAATGTAATTTACATGAAACTGGCAAGTTTGACATCTTTGAGCATATTCTATGCAATCTTTGGCCATAGTAGGCCAATAGTAGCCCATCCTTTTAATCCGAAAATGTAACTTGAGATCGGATTGATGAGCTCCACATATTTCAGAATGTGCCTCATGCATCGCTCGATATGCCTCGTCTTCGCTCAGACAGCGCAACAGTACACCTTCAAATAATTTTCGGTACAGCATATCTTTATACAAGATAAAACGAGGGGCACGGCAACGGATGTCAGTTCTCCTACGTTGCTCCTCAGTTAGTTTTGATATTTGAGATAATCAACGAGGGGTTGTCTCCAATCTTCTTTGTCAATTTCATAGGTTGAGACCACATGAGCGTCACCTCCTTCAATATCTTCATCATCAATTAGTGATGGAACTACCCACTTTTGACATACACGAACTTGTATCTCATGATTCGGCATGATAAGTGAAGAGGCTAGCGCAACTAATGCATCAGCTTGCTTATTTTCCCTTCTATGAACATGCTTAATACTTGCACCTCCAAGCCGCTTCATTAGTCGAGTTGCATATTTGTGATACAGAATTAACTCGGACTTTTTGACTTCATAACTTCCCAAGAGTTGGTTAACCACTAATTGAGAGTCACCATAGATTTGAATGTCCAACTGTTCCATGTCAACAGCTATTTCAAGTCCGAGTATGTGAGTTTGGTACTCAGCGACATTGTTTGAACAATGTTGATTTAGAATAAAAGAGTATAGCAATATCCCTCGATCAGGAGTCACAAATACAATCCCCACTCCAACCCCATGACGATGAGCAGCACCATCAAAATACATTTTCCATGGTGGACGAATCTCGATAAGGAGTACATCCTCATCTGATAGGTCATCACTTAGTTCCCATTCAGCAGGTATCGGGTGATCAGCAAGAAAATCTGCCAGAACTTGTCCTTTCACAGCTTTTTGAGGCACATAAATAATTTCAAACTGTTGTACTTGAAGATACCATCTAGCTAGACGGTCGGACAGCACGGGTCTGCTCATCACTGGAAATGAGCCTCACACTATGCGCTTGAAAGTAGTGCTTTAACTTCTGTATTGCAAAAATAAGGGTTAAACATAACTTTTCAATTGGCGAGTAGTTTAGTTCGTTGGGGGTCATCATTCTGCTTAAATAATAAAGGGCAACCTCCTTTCCTTCATTATTTTCTTGAGCGAGCAATGCCCCCACCGACCGTTCTTGGGCAGCAATATAAAGAAATAATGGTTTTCCATGAATAGGTACAGCCAACATAGGTCTTTTCATAAGATAAGACTTAATGCTATTGAATGCATTACTACATGCCTCATCCCATTGAAATGACACATCTTTCTTCATCAAGCGACTAAATGGTTGACACCTTCCTGCTAAATTTGAGATAAATCTCCTCAGATAAGCTAATCGCCCTTGAAGACTTTTCAATTCTTGAATGTTACGAGATTCAGGCATCCTCAATATAGCATCAATTTTGGCCTGATCAATTTCAATACCTCGATGGCGAACCACAAAACCAAGAAATTTTCCCGACGTGACTCCAAATGCACACTTGAGAGGGTTCATTTTGAGTTGATACCTTCTCAACCGATCGAAAACTTGTCTCAAATCCTCCAAGTGATTACTTCTTTTCTTTGATTTCACAACTAAATCATCCACATAACACTCGATATTTTTATGAAGTATGTCGTCAAAGATACTTTGCATTGCTTTTTTATATATGGCTCCAGCATTTTTGAGATCAAAGGGCATTACTTTATAACAATAAATACCCTTAGGAGTACGACATGCAGTGAGCTCTTCATCCTCAGGTGCCAATCGAATTTGATTATATCCAGAAGAGCCATCCATAAATGATAGAACTTCATGCCCTGTAGTTGCATCAATCATGAGCTCAGTGATCGGTAAAGGAAAGTCATCTTTGGGACAAGCATTGTTAACATCCCTGAAATCGATGCAGATGCGGATTTGTCCATTCTTCTTTCACACAGGCACGATACTCGAAATCCACGTGGGATATTTAACTTCACGAATAAATCCGGCTTCAATGAGTTTATTGACTTTCATTTCGATCAACGGAATCAGATCGGGTCTAAACCGCCGTTGTGCTTGTTTCACAGGTCGAACTCCCTTTTTAACAGCCAAATGGTGGACGGCCACTTTTGGGTCTAAACCCGGCATTTCTTTATAAGTTCATGCAAAAACATCTTGATACTCCCGCAAGAGTTCAATGTATGCCTTCTCTTCGTCAGGATTCAGTGAAGCACTTATATATATTGGACGTGGGTCCTCTGAAGTACCAAGATTGATCTCCTTTAGATCATCCACAGTGGCCTTAACACCTTCTTCCAATTCAGGTGGAGCGTCTTTAGCATCTTTTTCCTCTTCAGGCGAGTCACCGTCAATTATGGTTATATGATTGCATGAAGCAACACTCTCTTCATCATCCTCTTTTGGTCTTGTGTACACCACGGTATGCTCCCTGACCCTCAATTCAGCCCACACTTTATTACAAGGTCTGTGCATCTTCTCATTCTCGAAGGAATGATGCTACCAAATTTATGAGGACAATTGGAAGGTTCTTCAAGATTTTGCAATGACTTTGCCATTTTTCTTTTACTCTTATGAGAGTTTTGAGACTTTTATCTTTTTTGTGGTCCTAATCTTTTAAAAATAGATACCCGTCGAGTTTTATTCTCCTTTTCGTGAAAAGCTTGAAATTTATCAACTATTTGAGAAGACTCATCCTCCACAACAATATATTGGCTACTAACTCTATTGATCTTGATGCGGATTGGTGTAGGAGAGGAGTAACCAAGGCCAAATTTGAGATTTTCAACGGCGTATCCCTTTTCCTTCAACATCTTTTGGGTAGAATTCAACCCATGAATCATGTCACTAGTAGATTGACGGGATGGAATATTTAACACTGCAGATTCTTTGAGATCATATCCAGCCTTAGCGAGAAACTTATAAGCGATAGGATTAAAACTTTCTTTGATTCTTGACTTTGGTATGGTGTCTTGTTCAATTTCAGATTCTTTGCTTAAAAAGTTAGACCTTTTAAGTTGAGAAGATGACGCCTTTTTTGTATCAAAATGAGCTACCGGAAGAGTCAAACCTTTTAGAACTTCATGCTGAATTGCAGGTGACTGTCCCTGTTCCATTCTTGACTTGAGGGGACAGCGAAAGACAACCGATTCATTGTTTAATAATGAAACATCAGTTTCTTCATGAACTTCCTCTTTTGATTTCAAAATCATCACTTTCTCCCCTTTTACATTTGGAGATTCGGGGTTCTGGATTTTATCCCTAGATAGAGGTTGTTCATATTTATCCTTCGTAATGTGCCTTTTGACGTAAAATTTGGCATCAGCGATATACGCTTCCGCCTCAGTGAAAGGATTGTCATCGGCTTTCACACTTCTTGTCACTCCATTTCGGTAGTATTTGAAACATTGATGGAGGGTTGAAGGTACAACTCCATTTTCATAAATCTAGGGCCTTCCCAACAGTACATTGTATGTTATTTTAGCATCTATCACATACAACAGTGCTCTGGACGTCATGTCATCAATGACTATCTCCAAATTTAGTGATCCAAGAGCTCTTTGCCCTCCTTGATTGAAGCCTTGAATCATCAGCCGGCTATTGGAGAGTTCATCAACCGGGATACCAAGCTCCTTCAGTATTTTTAAAGGGAGAATATTGACTGCGGAACCTCCATCTATCAACATTCTATTCACTTTTTGCTCCTTTGCATAACCAGTCACAAACAAAGGACGGTTATGCGGTGTTGACCCAAGCAACAAGTCTTCACTAGTAAAAGTGATACTTGTGACGTTCACCTCTTCATTGTTGTAGGCACACGACCTTCTTCATTGTCGGTGGACGCATGGGATATCTCACAGAGAGATTCACGAGTATTATCTTTTTGTTCCTCGATATGATCTACTCGCGTTGTGTGACTTGCGACCACATCAACATCAAAGAATTCTTTTGACAAAAATTCTTTTAAAGTGATAGGAGTTCGCGACTTTTGCTTGAAGATTCGACCTCCTTGAAGATTACGACAGTCATTAGTTTTCTTTACGTCCTTCTCTTTTTCCTTCCAGATCACTATACTTCTTGTTAAGACCTTGCTCGCCTTACTAGATGGACAAGACTTTCGCCTCCTTTTTCGGGTGCTAGAGTCCATCCTTCAACATCCACATCAGGCTGTAGCGCCTTTTCATCTTCATATACATGTTCCTGAAGAGTTAAAGGAGCACCTTCTTGTTTGATTTCTATAGGGTCAAGTGATCCAAATTGAATGATTGGCAATACAGGTACCATGACCCTTTTATCCTCCATGGACTGCAGGGAACCAATGGACGTTTGATTCACACTCGCCTTGTCTTCTTCAAGGAGAATTTTTCCTTGTCTTGCCAACTCCATTACTTTGTCTTTGAAGACAAAGCATTTTTGAATGGGATGCCCAACCAATCGGTGATACTTACAGTAGTTTGGATCGTCAGTGTTCCTGGCCTCATCAGGTCGCTTCATCTCAGGAAGCGTGATCAAGTTTATATTTAACAGATCGTCAAACATACCAGGGACATCAGAATCAAGGAAAGGGTACTCTTTGTCTTGCATCTCCTTGAGAGTCGGCTTCCTCTTTCCTTGCTCTTGATGTGCATTGATCTTCCTGTCTTCTCTCCTGGCAGTTTTGGAAACGACCTTAAAAGGTGTTATACTTGTAGCCATAGCCTCCTTCTTTTCACTTTTGATCAGTGGCTTGCCCCTTTTCCTCATGTCTTGACTCTCTTTGGCCTTGTGAGGGTCAGGAACTGGCGGTTCTTGTCCATCAAGATTAATCTCCAACTTATGGGCTTTTGTGGATAATTCATCAAATATTTCTGGTTGCACACCTTGCAAGATGTATCTGAGTCCCCAGTGCATGCCTTGAATGCACATCTCAATCGCGGAAGATTCAGAAATTCGATCTTTGCAATTTAAACTTAGATTCCTCCAGCGGTCGATGAAATCAATGACAGTTTCATTCTTTCATTGACGTGTATTAGAGAGTTCAGTCATGCTGACAGTTCTCTTTGTGCTATAGAAGCGACTAAGAAATTCATGCTCTAACTGCTCCCAACTGTCAATGGTTCCAGACTCCAGATCTGTATACCAATCAAAGGCATTACCCTTCAAAGAGCGAACAAATTGCTTAACGAGCAAGTCACCATCAGTGCCCGCATTGTTGCAAGTTTCCACGAAGTGTGCAATATGTTGCTTAGGGTTGTCCTTGCCATCAAATTGTTGAAATTTTGGAGGTTGATATCCTACAGGCATCTTCAAACCTTCCAATCTAGCGATGTAAGGTTTAGTGTAACCACTATATGACTTGGCGTTTCCACCAATCTTATCCTTGATTGTGCCTTCGATAAATTCCTTTAAATTATCAACATGAATGGTGCCATCAGGGGAGATTGAAAATTCCTTCGCGACTTGTGACTTCGCATCCTCTTTCTCCTTCTCCCTTGATGACGAGTCCCCTTCATCCTTGCACTTTGAATTTCTGTTTGGACATACTAAGGTTATTTTTGCCTATATTTTTCACCATATCCATTAATTTAACTATCTTGGCATCTTGACTTTGTGCATGCACCACTAGCCCTTCGACAATTTTGGCTAGATTCGAGATCTGGTCTTCCACAGTTGTGGTATTGGTCATCATGACGGGCATCACCACAGAGGCAGCAGAATCACTTGGGCTATCAATGGATTCATCATGGGTTCCTTTCTTGTTAGGAAGCATCTCGAGATTTGCTTCTTCAGTCACAACGTTCGCCTTAGCCTTCTCTGCTAATTTCTTGGCCTTACTCCTTGTCAGAGGTGCAGTATACTGCGTCTCTTGAATTGTTGAGACACCGGCAACTAAGCCTTCAAGAAAAAAATTCACCTTCTTGAACTCCATTGAATTTTGAGACTGGTAAGTTGTTGGAAGAAAAGAGATGAGAGGCAGAGATGGTCCCACTGGGCGTGCCAAAAATTTGTAAGCACAAATTTTGTTGCCTGAAATAAAAGACAAGAAAACTTGCACAAATATCAAATTTATTGAATTAAATAATAAATAGGTTACAATCTCTGAAAATTCTTGAATCAAAGAAATTAATCCCCTGATTCTTTTCTTCGAATAGCTTCAATTGAAGGGCCGAAAAGACTTGTTCTCCAATCGAAAGGATGTTTCCTACAATTTCGGCGTGGAAAATGATTGATTTGATGATGGCGTCAAACACTTGGAACTTCAAGTCTTCAACACCGATAGCAGGAGGATTTGTTTGACTTGATTTGGACTTGGATTTGAGGAAGAAAGCTCTTGAGAGAATTTGACAGAGTTTCTCCGAATGTTAGAAATTTTTCTATATCTTTGCCTTGAGGGATGACCTCTATTTATAGCCAAAATATATAGGCTAAGTTTTCAAGAAAACCCTCCAGAATCTTCCTGCATTTTGGGTAACTTGTCCCTTAAAAAAAACCCATTTAACTTGGGCTTAAATAACGGGCCAACCCAAATAGTCCATTGTGAATTAATACATCAATTAATTCACTCCGATTTAAATGGACATTACAGATTTAATTTAATTTAATAGCCCATATAATATCGGCCCAATTTGCCGGTCCAAAACATAATGGACTTCTATAATTTAATTTAATTTAATCAAGATCAATTTAATAAATCTCGACTAAATAAATTAAATAAAATTTCTTTGTCTACAATTTTATTATTTTATAAATTTACTAATATATATTATTTAATTAAATATATATGGGTTTGAGTAAGGTCTAGTATGGATTTGGATTTGGATATGGATTGTAGAAAATCAGACCCTACCCAGACCCACAACTCTTTCACAGGTCCGGGTTTGGGTAAGGTTTAGATTTGAGAAATTAAATCCAAATTCTACCCAAATATATTGGATCTGGGTTAGATCCGGATAAGATCGACCCATTGACATGCCTAATGCCAACCATATAAAAATCTAATGGGGTCTTGATTTGCTGCAGAAAATTAGCCTTCCGCACTTTGAACATTTTGAAGTAACATTTTCATTGTTCGCTTTGGTTTATCACTTTGGTGTATATTGTAGACAAACAACATCCTAAAAGTTATTTAGTCTTTTGCACATTTACAAACTAAAGAAAAGTGAATATAAAATTTTCAATTTGAAACCTTCTTTCAGTGTTCATCCGTCGAGTTTCTATACCACCAATCTTAAAGCCATATTTTGCCTACGTCTGATGGCAAGTTCATTACAAAATTAGCTACCAACAATGTCAAATTGGAGTAATTTGATGGAAGCGACTTCATTCGTTCGAAAAAGGGCGTTCACCTCGCAGATTTTCCTGAAGTGGGATGTGTTGGAAAAACAATGACTATTGCATAAACAAAAGCTGCCAACGCACTGTCCAGGATTCCCTTTTGAAGATAGGAAGGACCGCGGAAGAGAAGAACTCGTATTCCTTAGTATTCCTCCCTAGTTGAATTGCCAATTTCATCCCTCAACCTTTTGTTTTCTTTAAAAAAAAAAAACTATTTTTGTCGCTTAACTGGTTTATGAATCAATTCAATCCCTCAACTTTAAATTCTATGGCCAATTAAATCCTTCTATCGTGGTCCGCTAAAACTTTTTGCCTTGAAATAGAAAAGTCACCAGCCACACAAGGGGTATGTTTGTAACTTCATGTAAGCCATCGTATTAAAACAAAAAAAAAAAAGAAAAATTGCTTGCTCAATAAAATTTGGGCAGCATTTGAGAGCAAGAAAACCAAGGGAAAAGTATGATTTGTTCCAATACTGTCCAAAATTTTCTTTTCTAGGGTTTTAATACAACGTCTTGCATGAAGTTCCAAAAATACCCTCACATAGCCGCAAATTCAAAAGGACCTAACTGGCGGAAAATTTTGTTTGAGGGATTGTATTGGCTCAAAAACAAGTTAAGGGATGAAAATGATTTTAAGTGAAGAAGTTGAAAGAGTAATCGGAGAATTGAAGGCCTTAATTAAATGACAATGGAAGTCGTGAAGAGAGTTTGGTGTCTCGGGAGTGTGCCTTTAACAAATTGTTACAGAGTAGGGTTTTCTTAAAGAGCACACCTCCTTAAATGGCGGCGGCGGCGGAATTGGAAAATGAGGCCAAAACATGTCTGAGCCCGTGTTCGAACCGGGGACCTCTAGCGTGTGAGACTAGCGTGATAACCAACTACACCACCCAGACGAGGACATTGTCAACTGCCTACGTGATGACAAGTTTACAAAATTAGCTACCAACAATGTCAAATTGGAGTAATTTGATGGAAGCGACTTCATTCGTTAGAAAAAGGGGGTTCACTTCCTTTTGGGGGTTCACTTCCTTTTGGTAGCATTGAAAGTGGCATAGGACTTGACTGATAATGAGATATGTTTGTTGGCATATCCTTAATTCAATGAGTGATGACTGATGACCCTTTTTATGTCTACCATACTATCAATACAATCAAGGAACTATGCGATAAATTGGAAGCCAAGTACATGCATGCACCAAGATGCTACAAGTAAAAAGTTTTTTGGTTACCCTTTTAGTAATTGAGAATCTTTGATGGAGAATGGAAAGCACATGTAGGGATGACATTGGTCATGCACCCTCAAAAATTTCTCTTAGCAAAGTGTAACCTACTCATCTAAGTTTTTTTTTTTTTTCTTATCAAACTCTATCAGATAACTCAATAAATTTTGATTGTCATTGCTAAACCTTGTTGCTTGAGTTTAAATTACCCATTGTGTATTCTCTACTGCTAGGACTGCACACGAATCGAACCGCTTGCGATTGGGCGCGCACTTTGGAGGTCTAGAAGGTTCGCTTCACGAACCATACTACGTGGACGGTGGATAGGGGGTCCACGTCATCATCGAACTCGAGTTGAGTTCGAACCAAGTAAGTCGAACTTGAGTTCAAAAATATCAACTTCGTTAGTTCGCGAGCTCGATTATATATATATATATATATATATATTTTATTTTAATAGTAAAATTACTTATATATTCCTAATATTTTATTATTTGTTAAAAAAATTATTATTTTATTCATTTTTTAAAAATTAAATAATTATATTTTTATTTTTTAAAAATAAATTAAATAATTATTTTTTATTTTTTAAAAATAAATTAATTTTTATTTTTATTTTTTTAAACCTCGAGCTCGAGTTCGAGCTCGACTCGAATTTGAGCCGAGCTCGAGCTCGAGTTTGATATTTTGACCTCGTTGAACTCGAGCTTAAGTTCGAACTTAATAAAATTAACTTGAGAATCAACTCGATTAGACTAAAATTTGGCTCGACTTGACTCGTTTGCACCCCATATCTACTGCTAATATGAATAGTTCAAATAAAGGGAATTAAAATTTTTTTTTATCAAACTAAAATCAATATATACATTATATTAAATTAACACACTAAAATGAGTTTTAAACTTGAGCAAAGCTATAGAACCTAAAATCCTAAATTTTGTGAGGGGTTAAATCAACATTTTGCCATAGACACACACACACAAAAACAAAAGCACGTGCGATGCATTTATGCACCTAAAAAAATTTTTTTAGGAACCAAATTATTTCTTGTGAGGCACGAGTAATCGCCATAGGACAGAAGTCATTTCACTTGGATACAACTAATTTGATTGAATCTAAACTAACATGCAAGTTAGCTTTTATGTTAGCCACTTTTTCTTTCTTGTACAGAAAGTACCACAAAACATTTTTTATATCTGGCCAAAAGAATCTTAACATCTTCATATTTTAAATGCTAATTTTATGCCTCTCAAAAATAAAATCAGTCCAATTCTAACCACCTTTTAAAGTGGTAAAAATGGCAGAAAACTAATTGAAAACATTTTCAACCAAACTATTACAGAGAAGTGCATATTAAAAAAATAATGGAGGGATAAAACAAAAGGGTAATAATAAGTGAGGGACTAAAGCTAAAATTTATGCAAATTTGTTGTCATTTCTTAGGTCCTCTTCCCCTGTGCGCTTCTCACTTAACATTTCTCCCGACCATTTCCCTTTTTAAATCACTTAAATTAGTACATCTGCATTGCTTATTCTTAAAGTTAATTGAACCTTTTTTTTTCTACTCTCCCTACACTTTTTCTATTCTCAACTGTTAAGCAAATCATTCGAATTCTGAATCTAATAGGTGGAAGAACTCTAAAACTCCTCCCTTAACCACAAAACAAATCCTAGTAATTAAAGTTACTTGAACTTGTTTCTCATTTTCTTGCATAGAAACTATTTTGGAAAATGCCTTTTCCTTTTAAATCATATAAAAACTATAAATATTGCTTTTGTATCAAAATGTTTTCTTTGTACCTACTACCCTTCCTCACATCTTTATCACTTCTAACTGCGAGGCTCATGCTTCAAACCCTAAACCTGACGGCGAAAAAAACTCTAGAATTCCTCTCCTGACCACTGAGACAACCACAATAATTTTTTTTTAGTGGTAGATATCAATTTACTCCGCCAGGAGCTTCACAACCTTGTTCTAGGCTTGCTTCTACTTCTGCATGTACTTTAGGTACTTCTTGAGCCACTAAGGAGCATTCTTTCAAAAGGCATTTTTGGGGCAAGTCTCGGAGCGAAAAAGGCATTTTTGGAGCGAGTCTCGAGACGAGGCGATGCCCAAATGCCCTGGACTGTTTGAATAGGACATAAGCGTTGTCGGGCATTCGCCCCACCCCACACGGCGAACACTCGGGCGTCGGATGTTTGGGGCATTTTTGTATTTTTTTTAATTTTGAACTTTGATTTTACTATTTTATCTTCTTTATCTTTGTTCGCTACCCTTATTATTGTTTAATAATTTTGAAGAATGATTCCATTTATTTGTTTTTGGAAATAGCTTGAAAAAATATAAATTAAAAGCATCCATGACTTTATTTCCTATATTTTTTTTCCTTTTCTTTGATCCCAAAATATAACTATTTTTTGTTAACATGATTTTAGATGGCTAATGTCTGAGTTAAAGTTATGTTATGATTTTACTTGTTAGATAATGATAATATTTTTATAATTTTCTTAATTTTATCAATTTTTTGTATTTAATAATAATATACATATGAATATTGTAATTTTGTAGTATTATTACATATTTTATTTTTTTTTATATATTTAAAAAATCAAATTTGTGGAACTTATGCCCCACGCCGTGGAGCATTTGCCCCAGTTGGGTGGACATAAAATGTCCGGACGCTCTCGTCTTTTAAATGAACATTGCTGCGGAGGCAATTTATAAGTAAATGTGTTGTTGCTAATAGGATAGTTGTCCACGATCCAAATGAGACGCCGCCCCTGTTTGCCAAAATATATTGAGTCAAGAACTTATATTCCAGCCTCCAGGTGTACAAAACCCAGCTAATGCCATAGCCCTCTGGAATTTCGTTACAAATAGACCGGGTACAGAGCTTCTTGTTCGTAACAGAGCCCATTTGAAGATGACTCCTGCCAGAAGAATCCAAACTCCTCCTCCATTTCAAAATAGGCGTTGTTGCTTGCTGGTGTTCCATTACCCATTGGATTCTCGCATGACCAATCAGCTTCACCATTGCTGCCCTAGACTAACGTTAAACAAAATAATTAACCTCCGGATTACTGTAGCTACTATGCTATAATAATTTCACAATGTGGCACTGTTACTCACTTCAACATTTTGTCCCACAATCCGTTGGATTGCGTTCATTTCCCCCAAAGCAGAGCTATCAAAAGCTGAGCGATTCCCATTAGATTGGGACATAGTTACCCGACCAAGATCCAAATAAATGGTCCAAAATCAGTACCAAACTATTGGTGTAGAGAGAAGTGCAAGATCATCCAGCTTCCGAATAAGGACCCCAGGGCAATACTAGTTGTAGGACAGCCGGTTCTGCTTCTGGTGCAGAACTACGAGAAAGCTGGTTTGGGTAATAGGACTGAAGATAACAAATCCCATGAGTGGTGTAAATGAAAGTGCTGCAATGCCAAATGAAGATGTGATCAAAGCAGGTGAAGCAGCAGATGTTGGAAATAAAAATCAGAAAAGGGGGGAGGAAGCAAGAGCCAGAATCCTGTGAAAATTGCGATACATCAAGTAGTAGTTACATAATGGAGATGACCTTTGAGGAGATTACTTCTAATTGTGCCAGTGAGCAAAGTTCAGGAGTTAATGCTCTTCATGTTTTTAGGAGATCCTTTCGCCAAAGGCATTAGGTTTCCTGCAATGAAAGTGGTCCTGATGATGATGACTTTCAGAGCCCTATTGCTAATTTTCACTGGAAGGTTTTGCAGCAATTTGCTTCTTTTTCCCCTTTCTAAGGCAAAAAACAAGTGCAATTAATGCAAGAGCCTAGAACTATGCTTACAATAGGTCCATCTTTCAGCCCCTTATCTCCATTTCCAGTATTTGGATGTGTTGTTTGATTTTTTGGAAACCCTGTCTGCACCTGGAGCTGGAGAAGAGCATTCCTGAATCTACCAGGAGGAGGTGGGGTAAATGGCAGTGGCGGAGGAGCAGGACGAGTGGAAAAGGAATTCCCATTGTATCTGTTTGATGGTAAATGTCAAAGGGCAAAGATCTAAGAAGTTTGTATAATGGGGCAATATTATAGATAACTTACTTAAAGCTACAGATGGAGAGGAGTTCATGTGGTATTCATCCACCGAAATTGTTGTTTGCAACATTTCTACAACAAAAGAAAAAGAAAAGAAATGAACACAAGGTGTTATGTGAGGTAAGCTGGGGTTAAAGTTCACGTAATTTCTCAGAAGGTAGAGACACTTACAAATCTATCAAAGGCTACCCAAGCAAAATATTGAGTGAACCAGTCAATTGGTTATTTTGCAAGTAATTGCAAGAACACGTACTGCATGAGAAACTTCAGCAAGTAAATATCAACCTGAATAAGAAGCACCATGCAAAACTTACAGAGCAGAAAATTTTGATGATGAGATGAAGGATCGAGGAAGGTCTATAGTCAAATTGTTGTTGGAGAGATCTGTGACATAGATGCAAGTGAGAACATTGTTTTAGAAAAGCAAAATTGAAAAAGATTGGTATGCCAAATAATATGGATGCAAGTCTTTCATGGTAAGGGAATCTCCTCTTTCATGCAAGTCTTTAATGTACCATGCTAAATGCCCTTGATGATGACATATCTAGAAATTATTCTTCATGAGAATGTGCACTAAAACTGGACTGTAAACGCCGAATTCCAATTCATTGAAAATTTAAAGACAATCAATTTGAAGCATTGAAGGTGGTAAAAACTGAATTGTGGTTTATCACTTCAATAAATATGTGTAGCTGAAATCTGAATATATAGCTAGATGTTAGAACTTTATCCATTGCAGTTTATTCTCTTGTGTATAACTAACCATCCAAGAACAACAACCAAGTAGCATGAGCATGGTATGCCCAACCAAATACCATAGTATACTTGGCTATCAATAAATATTTCTGTCCAGTTTCAGTGACTCATCCCTTTTTAAGTTTCAGCTGGACACCTGGGAGTTGGTCCTATAGTGTATTGATGGCTGTATTTTCAAGTGGCTTGGAAAACAAATTTCATTAAATGGACTGTACGTAATATAAAATTAAGGAAATTTCTAGAAGTCTCAGCAAGCAACTCTGAATATGGAGGAGCAAAAATAGAAGTTCCTTTGTAATGATTGCTCCCAAATGTATCAAAATCAATAAGCTAAAGATTGTCCGTAACTAAATCCCTTACAACATTGCCATGTGAAAATGATTGTTGAAACATTCCTAAAGCAAATAGTCAGAGTTAGAAATAAGAGAATAAAGCTAATATATGCAATTGAAATCGTGAAAGATTTGTGACTCAGAAATAGCTAAGGCCGGCCATGTGAGAGATGGAGTAAGGAAGATTCACACTTATATTATTAATTTATAAGCAAGGTTTCTGTAGTGACAAATAACTTATCATTAGCAAATTAAAGAAACAAAAGACATGAGACGGTACACCAACTTACAGTTCACTGAATTATGGGACTTACATACGCATAAGGTTTGGCGGTAACTGATGAGGAGTTGAATCATAAATGATATTGCTAGTGAAATTCCTAAGATAAATAATGATTACAATGTTTAGTGGCTGGTAACATTAGAAGCACCTTAAAATTCAATGATCTTTGAGCTCATTATCGATCACAAACACAACAGTTTTACAATATGTTTTTAAGGACATAAGACTATTCAACAAGTATTTCATTATTCCATTCAGAACTTCGATATCAATCTATAAACTTACAGCGAAACAACTGCAGAGCTTTGACAGGTAATTCCTTTCCATGACTGTGCAGATGGATCGCTATCATTGGCTTTCCAACCAGTTAGTTGTGAAGGACTATTTAGTGTATTGTACAAAACCTGCAGAGCTGTTATTGCAGAAACATAAGGAAACATAAGAAGTCAATATTGGAAAACAAAATGAAAATAGTTCTTTAATATTAAGAAAAAAAGTTCCAATTTTTTCCCTACTGTTGGCTCTCAAGGCCATCGAAAGAACAAAAGGAAAATAAATAGCTAAGAAGTGAATAATCAAGCTATTTACGATCAGAGAGCATAAGGTCAATTCAAAGATCATTCATGATCAACATATCTTCAGAGATTTCACTAAAGACATAGTTCTGCATCACAAGATTATTCTATCATCCAACAAAACCAATCCTGATTCTTGACATAGAATAAACGTCAAATCCAATAACAAAAAAAAAAAGGAAGAGAAAAAGCATCATTTTTGCTGACTATCAGATTCAATAGGAACATCTCTAGCTCACCTCAAAAAAACAGCATAAACGAAGTAGATGAGAGAATTATGCAGACGCATCAGTTGCAGGCATTGTATGCTGAATATCCAAAGTTAACACTAAGCATCACAATAGTAGATAGGTTAAATTCCAAAATGCAGGAAAATGCAAAATCTGGTTTAAAGGTCATAACATAAATAAGGGCAAAAAACATATGTTTAGCACAAAGAAGGCAGAACCTAGAAATGGACTTCTGCAAAGGAATGAGAAAGCCAACAGGAAAAGCAGAGTAGTGAATAATGCATGCAGCGGTGTAGCATGGAGAAGAGAAGACCTAATTTTCCAATTTCCAATAGCAAAAGTGGAAGCCTACAGTGAAATGACCTTGTTAGACAAGGATTGAAAACGGTTAGTCCATTCAATAAGCATCTACAAAGAGAAAAATGTAATTAAACAACTCAAATAATATTGACTGATAGAACATGAGCATCAAATTTCATTAATGCAATAGAACTATCAAGGGTCCACTAATATCCAGTAGAGACTTGTAAGAAGGACAAAATTATAATATGACCAAAAAGTAATGCAATAGACAGGCATAAAATCTAGTACAATAGACATAAATTGACCACACAGCCCGTATGATAAGCATATAAAGGGCACAAATGAGATATTCCCCAACACAAAAGCATAAGGCAGTTGTACTAGCCCCAACAAAAATAACAAGCAACAAGCTGAAACGACAAAAATATCCCCGGAAGAGCAAATGAAAATTAGTGAATAGTAACTCAAAACGTCTTCTTATATAGTATAAGGAAGTCTCACATGGTGAGATTTTCTATATACTCTTAACATAGTAAAAGAGTACGAAAAATATAAAGAAAAAAAACTAAAGACGAAAAATGAAATGACGCCCGAATCATTAAACTCCAAAATTTTAAGAAAAATTGAAACTAATATCTATCAAAAGTAGTCCAATTTAACAGCTACAATCTAACCATTCACCAAGTAGAAATATCCAAACAAAAGAAAGCCAAAGGTTTACCTCTAAATTTTCCGTTAAAGGTCTTTGAATAATATCCATCTACACCAGAAAATTTTGTGTTTGGATTGCATTTTCCGTCATTTTTCATGGAAAAATTACTGTAGCGATTTGATATATGTGAGGGAAAAAGGTGATAAGGAAATGTGATCATGGAAAACGACAATATTTTCCAACGGAAACAAGCAATCCAAGCATGGCCAGAATTCTAAGCATTAGAAACAAAGAAAATCTGAGAGTAGCAAAACCAACAAAATGAATACCCATTCTGCAGGTACAACTTTTCACGATATGACAATATAAGTAAAAATTTCTTTTAGAAACAAGAAACACTTATAACCTTGCAAATTTTCTTATAGGACTATATGGTCGATGCGGATATCAAGGTGATGTGTGTACGTACGTTATCAGAAGTAGATATAAGGGCCTAAAGCAAGCTACTTCCTTTTGCCAAGCTTATTGAGTTCATGTTTATCTCCTTTTCCATCTCCTATTTCTTTACTTCCTGCACGTCCAAAATACCAATAAGGAAAAATCTAAACTTTTTTTCCAAAAATCAAGAACATAATCACAAAATAAATCCCTTTTTGAAAAAAATAAAAAATAAAAATTAAATTCCTTTTTCTACAAGAGGAGAACCCATTGAAAAATTGGAACTTTTTTGTTCAAAAAGAAACCAACAACAAAATCAAAATTTTTGAAAACAAGGAGACCCGATAGGCATTAGAATCCACAAAGAAATGAGAAACAAAAATTACACATTACAATCACAGGGGCAGAGGCATCTAAGTGTGTCAGGCAGCATGTTTGTTTGGCCCAAAAAGCATCTCATCAAGACAATTGAGTTTATCATATAGAAGTAATGCACCCAATGATGAAAATGAACCATATGATAATATGCAAATAGAAAATACCAACCTTAGCAAAAGCATTTGAGAAAATTTGGCTTACAAAATAATGTGGCAGGTTATGTTGCATGACATGAAGATCGTATGGCAGGCTATGTTGCATTGTGTTTCCAAAATTTAAATAGTAATAAAATCTGAGAAGATAGAA